ACTACCATACTCTCTTTTGTCTGCTGTTCCCAGGTTGCATGCAAAGATACTTGCTCATGACTTTCGGTACGACCTACATACCATTGTCAGGCAGATCTACACTAATAACTTATTCTTAAATTACTGGATTGCATTCTGTATGGATATACATATATGTCACAGTATTACAGTTATTACTAATGCATCAGATTTTCAGCATTTCATCAAAATTGAAGCCACTATTGTTCCTGTATATCCATTCAATCAGAATAAAAACTTTGTGTTATTCGAAGTTTAGGGATGTTCATGCAGTATATAAACAATATAATAATAAATTACAAATATTTAAAGTTATAAAATACATTTAGACGCTGAGTTAAGATATTATACGTCATGTTTAGATAATGTTTTTCATTGTAATCATGATGTGTTGTTATATTATGTGGTAATTTATGGACATTGTTTTGGTTGTGATTTAGTTCTTTCTATTTAGTTCTCCCACAAAGTGGTTGTGTTGTTTTGAACAAATTAGTGTGATGTACACTGCTATTTTGCAGTCTGTTTTTTTTTTTTATTTATTTTATGAGTTCCCCTATTTTCCACATTTCAATGTCTGGTTCTGTTAAAGGTCAGCAAAGGAATAAATAAAACTTAAAAATTTAAACATCTTTTCCCTTCTTCCTCCAGAATTATCCCTCTTGCGTATGCAAACGTGTGTTGTCTCGTGAAGATTTGTAAATTTTGGCTGGTGTTTTCATCTTCAAGTATATGGGGAGACATTGTCTGTCTAAAAGATATTTGAAGTTATACCATACAATGAGTAGGCTGCTATGAGGAATAAAGATACAGATTGTCCAAGTTTTCCGTGATGGAAATTTTAGCTTCAATTACATTTTTGAAATTGAACCTAGTAACTTCGTAATATTAGCTTAATGATCTATATATCACTGTCTGCTGGTATAACTTCCACGCTGTTTTAGACACAGTATATCCAGAACCATATGAATTATATTATCTTGATTAATTTTGTAATATAGCATTCTGTATGACTTTTGAACTCCCAGCTGTCTTTGGTAATGGAAGGAGGGAATTCGAAGGGATGGTTAAAACAACAGGTTATTCAATAATATAACTCTTATGTGAATTTAAAACCTGTAATGAACTCAAATTCCATGGTTAATCCATATAAGTCATCTGTATATAGAATCTTGAATGTGTTCATGCAGTTTGACTTGTTTACTCTAGGTTTTCTAGCAAATCTTTTAGATCACCTTAGGAGTCTTCTGTGTCCAGAATATGTAGGGCATATTTTGAATTGGTTTTGATTTAATAGTTTGCACATTGCCTTTGTATTTGTACAGTTAAGACCCTACTTGTCAGTTTTGTTTATTTCTTTGGTAATTTTAACATCTTAATTGAGAACTTCGCTACAGTTAAATGGCTCCTATGCCAAGTACTTTGGTTTTAAGTGGTTTCCTGTGGTGAGTCCCAAAGGTTATTTTTAAGTTGGTGTATACATATATAGACAAGAGAAGCTCTAGTTTCAGTTGTACTATAATGTATGTGGCAAGCACAGTGAAATATGTTGAGCCTTCATGAATTATCCTGCTCCCTCTCCCATTCCAGATGTGAAAAATGTGCGTTCATGGGTATGACAGTTCAAAGAAGGCTGAACATTGTGTGACAACAAACCAAAACAATCTCGGCCTCGCACCAGCCGGTCTGACAACATGGTCGAGTGAGTTGAGAAAGTTGTTTTGGAGGATCACCGATTGAGTGTGAAAAACATCACCTCCAAAGTTGGCATTTCTGTGGAATCTGTGCACACAATCCTGCATGAAGACCTGAGAATGCGGAAAGTGTCCTCCAGGTGGTTGCCACGAATTCTGGCGGATGACCACAAGGCTGTGCGCATGGCAGTTTGCCAGGNGTTGCAGAAATGCGTGAAAATGTGGGATGTTCCCACAAAGTCATCTGTATATAGAATCTTGACTGTGTTCATGCAGTTTGACTTGTTTACTCTAGGTTTTCTAGCAACTCTTTTAGATCACCTTAGGAGTCTTCTGTGTCCAGAATATGTAGGGCATATTTTGAATTGGTTTTGATTTAATAGTTTGCACATTGCCTTTGTATTTGTACAGTTAAGACCCTACTTGTCAGTTTTGTTTATTTCTTTGATAATTTTAACATCTTAATTGAGAACTTCACTACAGTTAAATGGCTCCTATGCCAAGTACTTTGGTTTTAAGTGGTTTCCTGTGGTGAGTCCCAAAGGTTATTTTTAAGTTGGTGTATACATATATAGACAAGAGAAGCTCTAGTTTCAGTTGTACTATAATGTATGTGGCAAGCACAGTGAAATATGTTGAGCCTTCATGAATTATCCTGCTCCCTCTCCCATTCCAGATATGAAAAATGTGCGTTCATGGGTATGACAGTTCAAAGAAGGCTGAACATTGTGTGACAATAAACCAAAACAATCTCGGCCTCGCACCAGCCGGTCTGACAACATGGTCGAGTGAGTTGAGAAAGTTGTTTTGGAGGATCACCGATTGAGTGTGAAAAACATCACCTCCAAAGTTGGCATTTCTGTGGAATCTGTGCACACAATCCTGCATGAAGACCTGCATGTCCTCCAGGTGGGTGCCACGAATGCTGGCGGATGACCACAAGGCTGTGCGCATGGCAGTTTGCCAGGCGATGTTGACATGTGATGAAGGCATGAATGGGACTTTTTTTTCATCAATTGTGACAATGGATGAGACATGGATGCCGTTTTTCAATCCTGAAACGAAGCAACAGTCAGCTCAATGGAAGCACACAGACTCACCGCCACCAAAAAATTTTTGGGTAAGTGCCAGTGCTGAAAAAATGATGGTGGCCATGTTTTGGGACAGCGATGGCATAATCCTTACTCATTGCGTTCCAAAGGGCACTATGATGACAGGTGCATCCTACCAAGATGTTTTGAAGAACAAGCTCCTTTCAGCACTGCGAGAAAAGCGACTGGAAAAGGCTGCACGTGTGCTCTTTCACCAGGACAATGCACCAACGCATTGGGCATATGCGACGCAGCAGTTTCTTCGTTAAAACAACCTTGAAGTGGTTTCTCATGCTCCCTATTCACCTGACCTGGCTCCTAGCGATTTCTGGATTTTCCCAATGATGAAAGACATCAGCGATTTTCCAGTGGTCAAAACAGACTCCTACAGAAGCGTTAGCAGCGGCAATGGAGTCATGGCGTCGACGTTGTGAAAAAGTGTATGGCTGCAGGGAGATTACGTTGAAAAGTGACAGAAATTTCAAATTTTTTGTATGATGATTGTGTGTGAAAGAAAATCAGAGACCTTAGAACTTGAACGCACTTCGTATATATAATTGCTAATAAATACTAATTAAAAACTACTTAAACATCTTTCCATTGTAAAATACTTTTGAATTTTGTAAAATGTAATATGTGGAAACTGGTTTTAATTTAATGTATAGATGTATTATTTTTTTTATTGTGAGTGGGATGGGACTAAGTCCCTTGTACTGCGGCCACTTCTGGCCTATTGTACCAGCCCCAGGTGATATGTGAGGGTGATAGTGGAGCAATTGATGGAATGAAGATTGGCAGGGGAAACCTAAGTACTCAGAGAAAACCTGCTCCAGCGTCACTTTTTCCATCACAAATCCCACTTGATCAGACCCCGGGATCGAACCTGGGCTGCCGCAGTGGGAAGCCAGCAACTAACCGCTTGAGCTATGGCGCGGCCCAAGTATAATACAGTTTTACCTATATAATTGATGGGATTTGTCATGTTGTCTTTGACTATTTCTATATCCACTGGCCTTCCAGCCATCTAAGGATCCATGGAATGTGAATGAATGGATGGTTTCCCTTTTGCGCAGAAATTTTGGGCCGCATTTGATGATTTCATTTCCATCTTGTTTTGTGTTTGAAAGGATCTGATCAATCTTGCCCCTCTTACTTCAATGACAAAAGAACTTTGTAAGATTATGTATGATCTTGATGAGCTCAGAACATCTGAAATATCAGTGTGCTAGCAATTAGTTATTTTCAGTAGGCTAAATATGGATAAGCGCCTCTGTGGTCTAGTGGTCAGAGTTCCTGGCTACAGATCAAGAGGCCCCGGGTTCGGTTTCCAGAGGTACCAAATTTTCTGAGAAGTAGTGGGTGTGGAATGGGGTCCACTCAGCCTCGTGAGGATAATTGAGGAGCTATTTGAATGGAAAAGTAGCGGCTCCGGTCTAGAAAACGGAGATTAACGTCTGTGGGGAACCGTTAGGCTGATCACGTGACACCCTCTATCCGCAAAAGTTGGAACTAACTTCACCGACAAGCGGCGGTAGCTCAGTCGGTATAGTTCACTTGCGGACTACAGGTCACGTTTTTTTTTTTTTTTAAATAATGATATGTTGGGTTACTGTAAATAAATGTGTACACATTTGTCTGCGTTGCCCATTTGGCAGTCTTTAATTTATATTATCACGGTAACAGCAATCTACATTTATATTCTTTATGTAAGCTGAGGTGACGTATTCGCCTGCGCATCTTATTTGGCATATAAACGATTCTTTGCTCCATTCATGTCGCTCATATTGAGCATTTGCCAAAGCCCAGTTCGCTGCAATTGGCATACTACTCTCCTCCTCTCCCTCCTTCCACTTAGAATCTTTTTGTTAAGTTAGGTTGGCGTTCATGCGGCGAACCAAGGTACCACTGGCGTCACAGCTGCAACATTTCTCTCACGGTGAAAAATTTTCGTGGCGTTGTGTTGGTGAGTTGTAAAGGGAATTGGAGGTATATGTTAAGAATGGTAACTTGATAGTGAGTCAAGTCAGCAAATGTTATGTATGTTTTTTTTTTTTGTTGCTGTTATTATTATATATAAATACATTTGTTCTTATGCTGCTAGTAAGTATCACCATATTTATTACGTTCTGAAGTTATGTGTTGTAGCGTTATCTACTAATTAGTAACTTAGACATGCGTGATATTGCTAATACTTTGGTTATAGTAGTCCATTGTAAAAAGTCGTGTTGTAGGAACATGGCGTGAAAGTAAGTGAGCAGTATTCCGAAGGAAATGAATTCAGCTGATTGTCGCGCGGCTTGTCAAGTGTGTGGAGTGACAGGAAGAGTATTTGTCTGTTCTCGTTGCAAGCATGTTTATTACTGTTCGAAAGAACATCAAGTTCTGCACTTCAAGAAACACAAAGCCTTTTGTAAACGAAATCGAGTTGACAAGAGAGAGGATGATAATACCCAGTCTCTAGACTCAAAAAAAATTTCGGTCGTTCAGGCAGAAAGTAAAGAAATTGTCACAAATGATGCAAGGAATAGCGAGAGTGAGCTCCGTGTGAGTGACAGTACTGACACCTGCGACGTTGACAGAAGCGAAGGTGCTGTTGCTGGAAACACTAGTCCAATTACATACGAAGGTAGTTCCGAAAGTGAGATTCTTAATGCGGTAACAGAAATTTTAAGCCCATCCCTTGATTTTATTTCTAGCTTGTCTGCTGACTCGTTGGAGAACAGTATTGCACCGCTGAGTGATATGCCTTCACACGAAAGAGGAACTGTTACAGCTCCTGTGAATACAAATGGATTTAGAACTTTTCCAGAAATCAATTTGGTGAATGATGATCCTCTCCCGCCGTTCTTGCACAGACAGAATAGAGATAAGCAACTAGAGGAAGTTTGCAGGAATGTGATCAGAGACATGGATGCCTATGGTGTATGTGTTGTTGATAATTTTTTGGGGCAAGAAATGGGAATGGCAGTATTGGGTGAAGTCACAAGCATGTACAAGAAGGGTGTTTTCAAAGATGGACAGCTGGTAAGCAACAGGGCGAAGAAGAACTTGAAAACAATTCGTGGTGATCAAATTACGTGGCTGGATGGTAAAGAAAAATTTTGCAAGAACATTGGTTTTCTGATCAGCCAAGTTGATAACATTATAGTCCGTGCCAATAATATGGGTGGTAATGGAAGAATGGGTGACTACACTATCACTGGGAGAACAAAGGTATGTTCTACATGTATAAAAATATAGTTTTAGGTCCCTAGATTTCTATCAAATCTTGTAGCTGTTGACCCATTAAGCTCTTTTTATGTGCATACATGGTATTTTACCATACTGCCCTGGGAGGAGAGACCAGGATGGTTTCACTTACTGGGGTTTAGCTGTTATGTTACAGGCCACCATCATAATTTGGAGTCCTGCTTTCAGCTTTTGAACTGTCTGGGTTCTGTCTAAGTATTCCGTTAATATGGAAGCATGTGTGCTTGTTTGTGGGTTTTGGAATGAGATTTTCTTTAGATGCATAAAATAAATGTGGTATCTTAGAATTAGGTTGCCTAGATGTCATTTTTGTAATTGAATTTTTATTTTCTTTTATCAAAGATATAACTATTTGGCAAAGTTGAGTTGTGGTTTGTTCAGTTTTCAGTAGGAGAAATTTTTTAGAATTATTTTTGATATCTAACAGAAGGTTATGTTAAGATGGCCCCTTCTCATCATTTAAAATCATAGGTTGTTAATGAAGGAGATAGCCTCCAGATAAGTAGGGTAGCTGCAAATATATTGAAGAAGCTATCCTAAACTGTTGGCATGAAGTTGCCTTCCAGGTGGCTTTATGTGGATCATCACCCCAACACACACAAAAAGAGAAAAACGGCATGTTATGATGTGTTATTTGGGATCTTAGACTTGGACAGACTTGCTGGAATGATGTAAGCAGCATAAGATGGGCATGACGTATGAAACTTAGAATGGACTGGATTCATTTTACTCAGGACAGGGACTAATGACTCACTCTTGTGAAAATGGTAATGAATCTTTGAGTTCCATATGAGATGGAGAGTTTCTTGAGTAGTGGAGATAGTATTAGTTTCCCTAGGTGGACTGTTCTCAAAGCAGTTGGTTGCTTTGCTATCCAGTAAAAGGATTCTCTAAATTTTCTTACAGCCCTAAACTTGAGAGATTTGTGTGTTATTCATTCATTCATTCATCAGCAGTTACTGCAGTTTGAAGTTAGTGCCTTGTTTACAAGAGCAGTAGTTGCCAGTTTTATTGTTTTATGTTACTGTATATTATTTATTTTTTATTATGAAGCATTTACAATAAATGCAAATATAATGTATCAAGCATGCTACAGGGTTCTACTAGTTTTGTTCACATTTCATATATTATCATCTTCCACTAAAAATATAAAAACTAAATTCAAGACTTGCTTTGTATTACACAGTTCACAGACTTATAGTATTATAAAATGCATGTTATAATACTATAAGATAAGACAATAAATTTACCATTTGTGTTGTACTTTTGTGAAACATAACTGTACTATGATAGATGAATATTAATCACAGTTGCTTTCTTGAACGTGGAATGATTAATGTTGTATTTTAGCATCCTGTTGCACTGATTTTTATCCATGATATGTATACAGTTGCCGTCTTGTAGTGCACTCAGTTTCGCCTGTTACTTCACGACATGTTTCGGCAACATAGTGCCATCATCAGGTGCCCTAATTATGCTAATCTATTTCATTGCTTGCCTTTATAAAATTATTTAAAAAGTATTTAAAAAGTGTATATTTGTCAACTATAATGAATTTACACACACTAAAACTTGTTAAGATTATTCATCTTATGTGTCATAATTAAAACTTGCGTGTGGTTCTTCCACTATGGGGATCGTTTTTCTTATATTCTGTGTAGACACACACATCCAACATTACAACACTCGCAGCTAAGAAGGGAACACACATCACAAGACACGGTTTACACAGAATATAAGAAAAACGACCCCATGGCGGAAGAACCACACACGAGTTTTAATTATGACACATAAGATGAATAATCTTAACAAGTTTTAGTGTGTGTAAATTCATTATAGTTGACAAATACGCACTTTTTAAATAATTTTATAAAGGCAAGCAATGAAATAGATTAGCATAATTAGGGCACCTGATGATGGCGCTATGTTGCCGAAACATGTCGTGAAGCAACAGGTGAAATTGAGTGCACTACAAGACGGCAACTGTATACATATCATGGATGGAATGATTAAAAAAATATTTGGGGCTAATTGGCATGAATTGAATGAGGAATGGGGAATTACATACTGGAGACATCTGTGATATAAACAGTTAATTAGCATTTTTGTTGTAATGAAGTCTTGAATAGGTGTGCGTCTTTGATCAAGGAGATGACATACAGACACAGTTTAAATGGAGATGCCTTTTGGAAAGTGTCCACCTGGATGATCAAGAAGAAGATCAGAGAATAGCATTGAACTGGATCATATGATAAGTTGTGAGAATGGGTGGTGAATGGAACTGGCTTAGCATCATGTCCAGTGATTGACATTGGTGTAGCAGTTGAGCCCTTGTACTCTGTTTGCCAGAAGTTAGTCATCGCAGGCATTCTTCTTTATAAGAAAATTTATTTAATTATGACAGCAGTCTTCATGTTTGTATTTTAAATAATTTTACTTTCATTTATTATTGTAGTATTTTCTCACATTAACTTTCACACTGTCTTCACTAAATCATGCATTTTTATTGATCAGTATGAAAGCAGTAGATGTTTTGTAGTTTGTTTTACACACTTCCTTTAACTGCATTTCAGATTAAATTAATAAAATGCATGCAGTCACAAAGTCCTAAAAGTGACAGCAGACAGGTAAGTATACTGCGTACAATGTCAGAAAGTTGTGAATTTCTGTGGTGGTCATCTTTTGTTTTGTTTCATATGTTTTTGTGCAGCAGGATGCTTATAATTGAAATTCCTGTTACTGACAGAAGGTCTCAACACCCTAGTAGTGTTTGAGAGAAAATATGTAAATGTAAGAGCTATAGCTATTAACTCAGTCTTTGGGGTTCTTTACTGATATTCTTTGCAAAATTTATGTTTATGCCATATTACACAGCAGTTTGCTCTCTGGAAATTAATTTTTACACATATAAGGAGATTTGAAATGTGGTCACAAGTGAGAGTAATTGTACACAGTGTATTTTTCTTGGTGATTTGCAGTACAGAATATGATGAATGTTCTATTAATTTTTATGGTGTATAGCAGCGATTCATTAACTTTCTTATATCACAACCATTAGTCTTTTGTTACATTTAAATAACCCCCATCCTGATGTTCTGTGACCAACTAATTTATATGCCATTATAAATGTATTTACAAAACTTACCTGTTTTGTAACCTCCTATTCAGTGGGTACTGGGGGCTCTTTCCCCTGGGGTAAAGCAGCTGGGTCGTGAAGCTGACGACTCACCTCCAGCTAGTGCTGAGGTGAAGGAAATGCGGATGTATACATCTACTCCCCCATACATCTTCATAGCATAGTGCTTAATTAGTTAAGCACAGGGACAACTTTACCTTCACCTGTTGTTTTGAACAAGTGTCAAACTTAGTCTCTCGTCCAGGAGGAAGAATGCGTAATGAGGGTGTGTGAAATCAAGGCACCAAGGAGAGTATTTGAACCTTAGACGCAGAACTTAACAGGAGGACAGTGAAAGTGGCATTTCATAGTTCATACTATTAACCAGGTATATTAGTAAGGTGATCGAAACTAGGGGGATGAGGAGGGATGGGTGGGACACGTAGAGCATGTGGAGTAATGAGAAATGCGGACAAAATTCATCAGTAAATGTGAAGGACAGAGGCCATCAGGAAGACCAGTATACAACAATAAGCAATAAAGAAATTATAAATTAATTTGTAATGACTACAACGAATTGTAGATTTGAAAGGATTCTGACAATGGTGTTTGACACTCAGGATTGTCCAGTATTCGAGAAAGGGTGAAAGAACACAATGTTCTGGAAACTGTATTTCTTTCTATCCTCAGGTGAGTGGTGTGAGAACATCCATTAGGAAGAGCTAATAGGTTCAATGGGTTAGGTGAACTGAGTTGTTTCTAACAGATGCAACAGAGTAGATGTTCTCCCATCTCCTCACTAAAGGACAGAAACATATCCAGTTTCCAGAACGTTGTCTTCTTCTGAGTTTTCTTGAATACTGGACAATTCACATAGTTCAGAGTCCCTGTAACCTTGAATATGATGAATTGCATGATAAAAATTTGATGTAAATGAAATCACCAATAGATGAGAGGGTAATATTACAGTTTATCTTGAATAATATTCGTGATGTGTACTCTGGTAGATAGGTACCAGCATTGGAAAGTAACCTTCTCCCTCCATGTTCAGAGTAGAATAAATGTTGGTACATATCTGCCTACAAGAAGTCACATCCCAGAAGTTTGTAAACTGAATATTCAACCCCATTAATACCTCATAGATTCATCTGGCTCAGGATGGTGTCTAATGGTTGGTTTTTGGCGTTCTATAAAAGAATTGAAGTTCTTGACTACCTGGTTGACTGTTGGATTCAGAAGAATAACTCTGCTCCATTGAGATGCACTATATTGTATTGTGTGAAGTGTGGCAGGGTTCATTTAAATGTACACATCATTACAGCATTATATGCAACAGAGGTTAGGTTTCTTTTTGAACAGCCTCATCTGTCAGGAAATTTGTATACCATTAATTACATGAACAAGTGATGGTCACTATTTGACAGAACCGGAGGTTTGGCAGGAAAAATGAAGAACCTTTATAAGCTGTTAATGGATATTGACATTTATTTGTGTCTTGTGGCTGGGAGATATTATTCAGCAAACTTATAATCGAGGTTGTGACAGTACAGCACTGCAGTTATTGGCAGCACAGCATTTGAGTAAGTGAACACATTCCCGTGCCATAGCTCAAGTGGTTAGTTGCTGGCTTCCCGCCATAGCAGCCCGTGTTCAATCCTGGGTCTGGTCAATTGGGATTTGTGGTGGATAAAGTGGCGCTGGGGCAGGTTTTCTCTGAGTACTTCGGTTTCCCCTGCCAATCTTAATTCCACCAATTTCTCCATCATCATAATCACCTGGGGCAGGCTACAATAGGCCAGTTAGTGGCCTCCTTACCAAGTGGACCCAGTTGGACTCCGCCCCCCCACTA